GGCCTTTGGCAGTCCTAACCACTGGACCACCAGGGAGTTCCCAGAATTGCTTAATTTTGTAATGTTCAACCGATCATGCATTCCCAGAATAAACCCAAATCGATTGTGGTGAATTCATATATCATTTAGGAATTTTTCCTCTCTGTGCATGAATGAAATCACCCTGTACTTTTCCTTCACGAAATGTCCCCGTCAGGTTTTGTTCTCAGGATTCTGCTGGCCTCATTTAGAGTTGGGCAATAGTTTCTCTGTTCTGGGGAAGTTTGTGTAACACTGTTTTTTCCCCCTTCTATCAGTGTTTGGAAGCATTCAAAATGAAGCCTTGGGCTGCAGCTGTTTGCTTTGTGGGATTTCGTTGTTTTAATTGGCACATTTATCAGTGAGGTTGAACAACTGTATACATTGAAATAACCATTTGCAATTCTCTTCCCATGGTCTCATGAGTCACATCCTTGTGCGTCTTTCTAATGGATTCTTGGTCATTGCTATTAAATATTTAAGTATTTAAATATTAAAGAAACCAGGCTCAGATCATGTTATGTATTGAAACTATCTTTCCCCAAGGTTGTCATTGGTCTTTTAAAATATTTTCCACATCAAAATTTTAAATTTCTATGTGTTCAAATCTATTCTCTTTTGAAAACAGTTTTGGCCATGCTTCTTGGCGTGTGGGATCTGAGTTTCCTGACCAGGGATCAAACCCCACCCCCTGCATTAGAGGGCCAGAGTCCTAACTGCTGGGCCAGCAGGGAAGTCCTGGTTTACCCTTTCTTTGGGGAAAAAACACAAAAAACACTTCTTATTTTGTATTGGGGTGTAGCCAATTACCGCTGTGACAGTTTCAGGTGAACACTGAAGGGACTCAGCCACTCACACACATATACACGTTCTGCCCCCAGATTCCCCTCCCATCCAGACTGCCACATGGTACTGAGCAGAGTTCTATGTGCTGCACAGTAGGTCCGTTCTGGTTATCCATTTCAAACATAACAGTGTGTACATGTCAATCCCAACCTCCCCAGCGTCCTTTTTTTTAAAAAAAAAACGTGGCTTCTTGATTTTATGTCATGCCCAATAAAGGACTTCCCTACTCAAAGATCATAAATAGAACATTCTCCCATTTTCTTACGATATCTGTATGGTGTTTTGGGGGGTAGTTTCATTTTTAATGAAAAATTTTAATTTTGGTTTCTTTTTTTTCTTCTTTTCTTTTCAGTGTCATTTTTAAATGGGTTTATTCTTAAATCTTGGTCCAACTGGAATTTAACTGGGTATAAATGAAAAGAGCAGGGGCCCCACTTTACTGCTTTCCCAGCTGGTTACCCACTTGTCCTCATACCGATTGTTAACAATTCATCTTTTCCCTACTGCTTTGAAGTTCTCTTTTAGCAGAGACAAAAGTTCCCATATATATTTGCATTTCTCTGTGGACTTTGTGGTTGACGGATTTCTGAGGTTTATTCATATGCTCTCTTAGCCTACTGTGTGTTTACAATGTGTTTTGAAATCTGATGGCTTGGTTTACTTGAGTTTTTGTTTGTTTGCTTCACAAAAGCACGGATGCAATTTAGTGAGGGAATGAAGGTCTTTATAATTAGTGATGCTGGACCAGTTGCTGAGGCAATTATTTTATAACTTTTTCTTTTTCACTGGTGGTTAATTGCTTTACAGCTTTGTGTTGGTTTCTGCTATATACAACAGCATGAATCAGCCATAAGAAGTTTCTGTATGTATCCCCTTCCTCTTGAGGTCCATCACCCCCCACCCCCGCAATTATTTTAGATTTCCCATTTCGGCCTAAGATTCATCCCAAATTAATTTCTGTATGTAGCATGAGGCAGGGGGTCAAGACTCCTTTCCTCCGCCTGCCTCCCCAGTTCCCACCTCTGGCGCTCGGCAGGACCCTAGGAGCTTTGGGACTTCAGTATCCTCAGTGTGGGCTTCCCAGGGGGCTCGGGGTGAACAATCCGCCTGCCAGTTTCAGGAGATGCAGGAGACTCGGGTTCGATCCCTGGGTCGGGAAGATCCCCTGGAGAAGGAAACGGCAACCCACTCCAGTGTTCGTGCCTGGAGAATCCCATGGACAGAGGAGCCTGGCGGGCTACAGACCACGGCGGGGCACCGTCGGACATGACTGAGCGCGCACTTGCTCACTGTAAGATGGGGGTCATCGTGGCTCCCTTCCGTTCAGAATCATGTGGATTCACACAAGGAAAGCAACAGAGCTGCACCTAGCCGTGGTCAGTGTCCAACAGGCCTTGTTGCTGTCTCGAGACATTTATTCATGTGAAGGGAATACCTGTGTGTCTCTTCCAGTGTTTGGGCGTTAGGTCCACGGATTGTTTTTTTCTTAATCCAGAGTGAGTGTTGGCTTCTGTCAGATGCCTCTCCATGGAGATGACTCTGGTTTTTCTCCTCCGCTGAGAGAGGAGTCCAGGCCCTAACAGACGTTCCCGGCCGTGCTGATGTTCCCGGCCGTCCTGCTGCAGGCCTGCTGGGGACATGCCATCCTTTTGAATGTGTTGCTTAGAGTCTCCTTGTGAGTATTTTGTCTTTTGAGGTCTTTGTGTTGAGCTTCCCGAACACGATTGGCAGGAGAATCCTCTGGTCCTAATGGCAGAACACTGGGAAACTTTCCAGAAGGGCGTTTGAGGTAGGCCACTGTCTGCAGTGTTCTCAGCTTTTCTGTGCGATCGTTGACCCACCTAGATCTTTGCTCCTTCTGGGACCTGTAAGCCTGCCCAGTTGAATCTGAATTTCTGATAAACAGAGATGCTTTTAGTACGCATTAAGTACCATAATCCTATTTATCCTAGAGAGTTTATTTTGTCAAGTTTCCAAATTTATTTTTATTAAAATGAGTCATCTTTTCTAGTACTCTTAACTTCCTCTATAGCTTAGGTTATTTCCCCATTCTCATTTCATTCTTTGCGTATTTATACTTCCTTAGTTTTTACTGATTGGCTAGCTAATAGCTGTATATTTTTTCCGAGATCTGTTCTGACATCAAATTCTCAATCTCTGCTTCTGTTGTTCCTAAACTCTTCCTCTTGCTTTCCCTGCTGTTCTGATTGTTGCTTTGCTAACGTCTTGTATGAGATGCTTCGATCATTTTAATGTAACTGTCTAACACAATGAATTTTCCTCCGAGCCCCGCGTGCGTGTGTGCTCAGTCATGTCCGACTCCTTGTGACCCCACGGACCGTGGCCCGCCAGGCTCCTCTGTCCATGGGATTTCCCAGGCAAGAATACCTGAGTGGGTTGCCATTTCCTACTCCAGGGGATCTTCCTAATCAAACCCACGTCTCTTGCACTGGCAGGCGAATTCTTTTACCTCTCGCTATATTCTGTGGGGACTGATCTGTATGTGTGAATGTTATTTTGAAGATACGGCAGCCTTGGCTTTGACTGCCTCTGTTTAACGAGATGTTTAAAGAAGCTGCAGGAGCTGCTAACTGGGCTGGGAAGGCGCCCCGGTCGGCGGGGCTTGTGGTCCACGAGGGACGCAGGCAGGGGCCAGCAAGTCTCCCGGGGTGGGATGAGCAGGGTGTGGGGACTGGCTTTCCTCCAGGGGCCCCGCAGGCCAAGGAGGGCCCCGTGTGGCCTCCTCGCAGGACTTGAAGGGTCATGGCTGTCTTGAGTGGGGAGCAGACCGAGGTGGTAGCAGCAGCCGGGAGGCAGAGAGAGGGATAAAGATGGAACCAAGGCCAGGCCACGCAGATGGAGGCGGAGGCCTGGGTGACCGTCTCGGAGCGGGAAAAGGAGGCCACTGCAGAGTGTTTGGCTGCCTCAGAGCTGGCTTCTGGTTAGGCGTGTTGAGCCCGAGGTAGGTGCCTGAGGGTCCAGGTGCTCAGGGGGTGGGTGGGAGGGCATGTGAGTCTGATGTTCCAGAAAGCTGGGCTAGAGCCTGGGCGGGGAGGAAACCCACTGGCTCACGGAGGGTAACTGAGCCCCCAGGGGTGGCAGGGGGCGTCCAGAGTGCAGGGACACGGTGAACGTGGGTGGCGCTGGGAGGCCCTGTGGGCAGGTAAGCAGCATTCTGTCCCCTGGGGCCAGGAGCCAACGCCCTCCCCAGCCCGAGCTGCTGGGCCCCAGCACCCCTGGGGGATGTTTGGGCTGAGACTGGAGTTCCTGATGCTGCCAGGAATCAGGGTGTGGGCAGGACCTCCCCCCAGGTCAGCCCACCAAGACCCCTCCCCAAGGGAGGCCAGCCTGCCTGGCAGCTAGCAGAGCCGTGCCCAGTGCCCGGGGGCTCCTGGGTCCAGAGCAGCGGTTCTCAATCGGGGGCTCCTTTAGCTGGGGGAGGCCAGGGACGCTGCTTTGCATCCTACAGTGTGGGCACAGCCCCCCAAAGTATGACTCCCCCCAAAACGTCAGCCGTGCTGAGAGTGAGAGCAGGTTGGAGATGCAGGCTGGGGAGGGCTTGGGTCTCTAGTCTTCTAGTCTTTTCCCGGGACAGAGGACAAGCTCCTGGACGGGCCTTGGCCACGGGCTCCCAGGAGCCAGGGCCAGGTGGCCCCAGGCCACACCCCGGCCTTCCCAGCAGGCAGTCCAGGCAGCCATGTGTGGAGCCTCAGCAAGTGTCCAAGGGCGGCTTGGACGAGAACCAGCCCAGCTCTGGTTTCCCCGGCCCTGTGGTGGCGTGTGTGGAAGGCTGCTAGCTCTGTGCATGGCCCTCTCCACCTCGACCCCGAGTCAGGCGTGGTGCAGTCTCTTCTTTAATCTCAGACCAAAGGATACATAGGTGGGGGACGGGGTTTCCAGGGGGCAGGGGCACAGTCCTGGGTGAGGCCTGGAGCGGCCAGGGCAGGGGCTCTGGTGGGGGGAGAGCCATCTGGTGGGCCCCCACAGCCGTCCATCTGCTGGGCTGTCCACCTCTTTGCAGCCCCAGACTGACCGTCTGGTCCAGGGGCCCAGATCCTGCCAGAGCGCTCGGTCCCCCGGGCCAGGCTAGCTGGGTGCATGCTGGGCAGGACCCCAAATCGGGAGGGACCAGCCTTTCAGTAGCCCGAGGGCTCCCCGCCCTTCCGTGGGTCCGCTGCGGCATGCACGCAGGCCCCGTCCTGGGACACGGCCTGGACCACGTTCAAGAAGAAGGGCCTCTTGCTCTGCTCTTGGCCCCGGTCCTGGAGCCCCTTCTGAACCTCCTGGAGGGGAGGGGAGAGGAGGCCAGCTGGTCACAGAGGGGATGGGGCCCAGGCAGGGGGCCGAGGACCCCAACCCAGACAGGAGTGGGGCGCCGGTCTGGGTGAGGACAGAGGGGTGTTGGACGCAGCCTCGTCTGCAGGACACGGAGTCTGTGGTCCCCCATTCTGCAGGCCCCAGAGCAGAAGCCCTGCTCCAGGGAGGATGACAGGAGGATGTGGCCCCGTCTGGAAGGACCCCGAGATGCAGGCTCACTTCTAGCCTGGGTTGAGGACACCAGGGGCCTCAGCGTGACCCCAGAGGAGTCCAGGGCTTCAGTGGAGAAGGTAGGTGGCCGTGGAGGACTTGGTTTTGAGGGTCTGGAAAGGAAAGCCTCTAGAAGGCAGAGCCTGGGCCCTTTGGAGCCAGGTCCTCCATGCTTAAGAAGAGCCCAACTCAACATCAGGAGGAATGGCCCTGGTGCCATGCTATTGGCAGCTTGGGACCTGCTCTCTCAACACCCACCCACCCGAGAACACAGGGGATCCCAGACGCCAGGGACGTGGCAGTCAGACTCCCCAGGGCCCTGCTGGTGGAGGAATCACTGAAGACTTCTGAAGACCCATGAGTCCAACGACACAGGCCCCAGGTCCCAGTGGTCCTCGGGGGTGAGGCGCTCTGAGCCAGCCCTCAAGGCTCAGGTCTGAGACGGTGCATCCGCAGAACTGGGGACGTCAGGGCCCACCAGGTACTGGTGTCTGAGGGGCCGAGTGCCCTGCCTGGCGATCTGGTCCCCACGCTTGCCTGTCTGTGGCCCTTCACAGAGACCCTGGAGATGTGTGGAGACCTGGCCCAAGGCATACAGGAGCTGAGGCCCCCACCCCCAGGCTCTGAAGGCAGGCTCGGCGGCGTCTGTCTCACCTGGCTGAAGCTGGGCTCGAACTCCACCTGGCCCTTGCTGTCCACATGCAGGATGGGGGCCTTGATGGCAGCTTGCAGGTCAAAGCCCAGCCACAGCTTGTTCACGATGGCCTGCAAGGGAGAGGACGACGCAGGGAGGGAGGCGGGGGGTGGGGGGGGGGTTCCAGTCACCCTCCCCAACCCCTCCAGGGACAGCAGGGCCGCCCAGGGAGGGCGCGTTCCAGCCGGGAGCCCCCAGACTCACTTGGGCCACCGCAGAGATAATGAGTTCCCCGCCAGCCCCGCCGATCACCAGCTTCGACCCCCGGGCTGCGCTGACTAAGATGGAGGGGACCATGGACGACGGGGGCCGCTCACCTGGAACTGGGGGCCGGACAGGAGTCAGGGCAGCCTCGCTTCCCAGCCAGCCCCCCAGGGCTGCCCGCTCTGTCTCCGTCTACCAAGGCACGATCCACGATCCACCAACGCCAGACCGGCCCGCCTTCCCTCACCCGGGGCTGGTTGGGCCCCGTGCTCACCGGGCGGGGGGGTGGCTCTGGAGCCTTGCGAGTGCCGCCAGCACAGGTCCAGAAGCTCGTTGTTGAGAAGGATGCCCGTGCGTGGTGAGTACACCATGGCTCCAAAGCTGCGGACAGAGGCGGGGCTGGGCGCCGGCTGTGAGCTCCGGACTCCCACCGCCGTCCAGGAGCCTCTCGCTTCAGGGGCCGCCCCCAGCGCGCTGGGACGGCGCTCCCCTCCCTGGCCCCGCCCCATCCCCGCCCCCGGAGCCTCCCTGGCCCCGCCCCCAGAGAACCTCTCTGCCCCGCCCCGGAGCCTCCCTGGCCCCGCCTCAACCTCCCTCAGCACCATCCTTCTGGTGCGAAGCCCCTTCCCTGTCTGCGCTCAGAGACACCGGGTGAACAGCCTTCAGCCAGAGATGCCCGGGTGCAGGACCCCTCTGACAGGAGGAGAGGTACCGCCCCCCACCCACCCCGCGGACACAGCAAGTGGGGGCGGGGCCCCAGGCCCAGGGAACGGAGCGCGGCCTGCCCACCCGCCCGCCCGGGGCCCCCACAGCCCTAGGCCCCACGCACGGCGTGTTGATGGTGCTGGTGGCGGCCACGGCGCTGCCATCCTCGCCCAGCACGGACACGTGGGCCGTGCCCATCTTGTGGGTCCAGGCCCCGGCCAGGCTGTAGTGGTCGAGCGGGTGGTCACCCCGGGCGTCCATCTGCTGGCGGATGTGCTGGGCCAGGGCCTCCCCCAGCAGGTCCCGGGAGGCGTTCTGGGGACGGCGGACAGGTGAGGGGGTCCGTGAGCGGCCGGCAGGGGCCCACACAGCAGAGGGTCCCTTGAGAGTGCCCCCACAGCCCTCCTGACTCCCTGCTGTCCCCAGACCAACCCCCAGGCCACACTGCCTGGTCACACTGCCAGGCCCTCCCGTCCCAGAGCCAACCATATTCATCTCCCTCTGGCCTCACCTGCCAGGCGCTCGGGGTCTGCAGGCAGGGCACCCACTGGCCTGACCCTGAGCCCTGCGGTGGGTATGGGGGCTGCCCACCAGCCCAGAACACCTCACCTGGACCTCTGGGTGGCTTCGAGGGTCCCAGAGCCGCCACCTCTGCCCCCCAGCAAACTTGAGCGTCTCCACGAGGTGATGGTACAAGTTCACTCTCCCCTCCAGCCTGGCCACCGACTCGGCGGAAAAGTTGAACCCTGGGGGAGGGGGTGGGCGCAGTTGGGGGTCATGCCATGCAGTGGGTCTGGACTCCGTGTCCTAATAACCCCCAGGACCTGTGAGGGCTGCCCCCCACGGAAGAGTGTCCGCCTGTGCGGCAATTCTGTCAGTAAGTGAAGGCTCTTGAGAGGAGCGGCTTATCCTGGGTTATCCGGTGGGCGCTAAATGTAAGACATCCTTGTAAAACAGACACGCAGGACAGGGAGGCTGTGTGGCCGCAGATGCTGACCGGACACAGCTGCCATAAGCTGGAAGAGGCAGAAAACAAATGCTCCCCCTGCCAACCGGCCCTGGAGGGAAGGTGGCCCTTTGGACACCTTGATTCTGAACTTCTGGCCTCCAGAACTAGCAGAGAATAAATTTCTTGTGGTCTAAGCCAGCAGGTTTTGGTGATTGGTGATCATCTGTTAACGGCAGCCCCATAGAATGTAGTCAGCATTGGACAGTCCTGGCCCTGGCCCTGGCCCTGGCCGGGGCCCCCGCCACCACCCTGTGGGCTGGCTGTAGGCTGGGGCTCAGGCCTGGGTGCACACAGTCAACGGGCAGCTCACCCCGGGTCGGGGTCCGTCAGGGTGTGGGGGGGAGCTCCATGGGAAGATGGTGGCAGACACCCCCACAGAGCCCTAGCCGCCCCCTAGTCCCGCTCTGGAGCACACCGCCCCTGGGCACGCCCCTCAGCCCCAGGACTCCGCGGGGAGCCTCACCTTTGAGCACGTTGAGGATGAAGCTGAGAATGGCGCCCCCAGCAGGCGGCGGCGGCGAGTACAGGGTGTAGTCCCCCAAAGGCATGGCCAGGGCGTCCGCCACCTCAGGCTGGAAGGATGCCAGGTCCTGCAGGGTCAGCTGGCTACCTGGGCGAGGCGAGGACAACTCCATGAACAGACAGGGAGACAGAGGCGCACAGCGGGGCTCCCCTCCACCCACAGCCTTCCAGACCCTGGGGCGGGGTGGCGATGCTGGGTCTGTGGGCAGTGGCTCGGGATGTGTGGGCAGACTGGAGATGGGCAGGGTGGAGAGCGAGCAGCGGAAGCTGGGGGAGGCACACTAGCCTCTGAGGGGGCCAGCTCCAGGGCAGGAGCCCTCCGTGACCGCTGATGGTTCCGTGTTGAGGCCCGAACCCTCAGAGCCCTGCGCCTCAGGGTCCCTGAGCCCGGCAGCAGGCAGGACTCAGGAACGGCCTCTTGAAGCCTGGGCACGGCTGGCCCTCCCCCGGGGCCGCCCCCAGCCCCAGCGCCCAGACCCCGCTGTCCCCGGCCGGCAGGGCAGTGGGACCTCGCCCGCTGACCTTCCTTGGCGATGTCCTCCAGCAGCAGCTGGCCCAGCCGCCCCGTGTAGAGGGCCTCTGCGCCTTCTGCAGCCACGGTCTCCAGGGTGGCAGCCAGCATAGGCCACGGCAGTGGGTCCTGAAGCCTCAGGGGTTCTGTCCCATTGAAGAAGAGCTGCCTGGGGGGTGGGGGGCGGCCTCAGGGGGGGCCGGGTCCTGGAGGGCGGCCACACTTCCGACCCTATGGGAGGCAGTCCTGGTCCGCGGTCCTGCGGGGCTGCGGTGGACACGGGGGTGGGGTGGGGGGGGGCAGGTTCTCCAGGACTGGGTGGGGCTGACACCCCTCATGTCTCATCACCGGTCCGGGGAGGCCACACCCCCTGCCAGGCCTGCGTCCACCCAGGGCCTGAGGTCCTGCCCTCCTGGAGGACTGGTCAGTGGACAGCCTGGGTGGGCCCAGAGCGTGAGGGGGTAAGGGCAGAGGGGAAGGAGGGAGGGGAGAGTGCAGGCGTGGGGTGGGGGTCAGGGAGAGGGCAGGACAGTGGGGAGGAGGGCTGAGGGGGTGTGCAAAGCCCAGATCTGTGCCACGGGAGCCCCGTCACGTGGGCATAAACTCCCTCTGGCCAGAGCCCTCCGATGAGGTGCTACCACGTGGAGGCGAAGGTCTGTGAGCTGAGACCAAGATGGCTGTGAGCTAGCCATCCAAGGCCCCCCGCCCCACCCTGCCTCGAGGGCAGACCCTCCAGCTGGAGAAGGGGCTGAGGAGGGGCCCTGGGCCTCCACCAGCGCGCACCTCAGGGACGACTTCGTAAGGGCGGGGCGCAGGAAGGGGCTGTGCAGGAAGCTGGCGAGGACGGTGGGCACGCGGAAGTCCCCCCGGAGCAGCGCGATGGTGGGCGTGAAGAGCTGCGCCCAGGGCAGGCGACCGTGGCGGCGGTGGGCCTCAGCGTAGCCGCGGAGCTCCCCGGGCACCCCAATCCACTGCGCGCCTGCACGGTCCAGGGTGTCAAACCCCTGCCCCCGGGGCCACCTGTGCCCTCGGCCCCAGGGGCTCTCCATCAGCCCACTCCTGGCCGCCTAGCCCCCTCCCAGCCACGGCAGCCCGAGCGAGCTTTCTGTAGCCCAGGTGGAAGCACATTCCTCTCCACTCGAACCCCCTTGACCCCCCCCATGGACTTCTGAACAGTCCATGACCAGGCCCCTGGGGCTCAGGAAAACCGGCCCCGACCCCGCCCACAGCCCGGTCCACTGACCCCGCCCACCAGCCCAGTCCAGTGACCCCGCCCACCAGCTCCAGCTCCATCTCCACCGAACCCTCTGGGGCCTTTGAAGTGGTTGCTGCTTGGATCGCCCCTCCCCACTGAGAGAGCCCTCCCCCAGGAACACGCCCCCAGCCCGGGGTTTAGAACCTCCACGGGGGCCCCCCATCCCCAGCTGCCGCCGCCCAGTGCCAGGGTGTCTCAGCCGGTCTCTGAGGCGCACTGTCCCTTAGGGAAGGGAGGTTCTAACCCAGTGGCCTGGCGGGGTGGGCCGGAGGGGCGGGGGGAGGTGGTCCTCCGGGGTCTCACCTGTGCCCAGGGGCTGGGCCTGCTCGCACTGGCCCAGCAGAGCCGGGATGGGGCTGGAGGGCACCGTCTCCCTAGCGTTGATGACTTCCACCTTCCCTGGGGTTGGGCAGGACGTTCGGGGTGTCAGGGGCGCCCCGGAGGCTGCCAGGCCTCACCGCACACCAGGTTCCCGCTCAGACAGCCGGGGCGCGGCTCTGGGCCTCGGATCTAACCCCTCGGAAGGGCTCACCAGGGTGGGCGTGGCGAGACCCAGTAAGGGGCGGGGCGGACAGGCCGGTCGGCCACGCCCCCTGGTGCTTTTCCAGCCCCTCCCAGTTAGCACCTGGGGCCGAGCCCATCCTCCTCACGGGGGTCCGGAGAGGACTCACCTGTGGTGGCGTTGTAGATAGTGAAGATGACCCCTCCACCCAGGCCCATGCTCTGGGGGTTGACGACCCCGGTGCAGACCAGAGCCGCGATGGCGGCGTCCACCGGCGAACCGCGCTGCTGGAGGATGGCTCTGGGGGACCGGCGCTGAGTAAGCAGCCAGGCTCCTCGGCCCCTGCCTTCCCCACCCCCCGGGCTTGCTCTGCCAGCCTTCACTGGGGAGCGGGCACAGCTGGGTGGCCTGCCGGCTGCCGCCACACCCCAGCTTAGTTCAGAGACCACACCAGGCTGCCCCCCGGTCCAGCGGCTCACAGACCCACTGCACTCTACAGGTTGCAAATTGCGGCATCCTTTACACTGCCCCGGCCACATGCAAGGTGCTTCTCAGTTTACAAAGCACTCCTGCGGCTGTCCTCCCTGGTCCTCCCAGAGGCTGGGGCTCACGGTCAACAGGCCCGAACCGGCCCCCTCCGCCCCTCCCAGCAGCCCTGGGGATGCCCAGCCCGTAGATGTCCTTCCTGATCTCACTGGGGACACACCCCCAACCCCTCCACAAGGGAACTGGATTCAGAAACAAACTCAAAGGGCCAGTGAAGCTCTGGCCTTTATGATCGATGCTCAGGGGCTGGGCAGGCACCGGGGTCCTGGGTGGAGGGTGAGGACCCTGGGAAGAACCCACCCTCCCGAGATTCCTCAGACACGAAGTGGAACAATGAAGCCTCCCCTGGGGACCCTGCGTGGCATTTCCAAGTGGTCACAGAGCCTAGGAATAACTGCTGACCCTTAAGTCTCCCTAGAGGTTCTCCCAGAGAACCCAGGGCTCACAGGGCAGAAGGAGGGAGACCTGGTGAGGGGAGAAAGGGACGGGAGGCAGATGATACGGCTGCACAGTGTGTGGGGGGGCCTGGAGGAATCGCCCCTGTCCCACGGCAGCTGGGGCAGCTCCAGGCTCCCTCCCATCTCTCTGACTTCTGAGAACAACAGCAGGAAGTGGAATCACAGCTTGACGAGGACAGAAAACAGTTGGGAAGGAAACCACATCCTCTTCCTCGCCAGCGGCGGCTGCGGAGCACAGACCCCCAACCCTTAACCCTCTGAGACCCCCAGCAAAGACTTGGGGGCACACAGTGAGCCTGGGCCCCCATGATAGCATAGAACCATGATAGCAGCCCCCACCCCCACCCCGGGGCCACGTCCTCATCAGTGGTTCTGAGGCTGAAGTCCCGACTTTTTTAAACTATGTATTTATGCGCTGGGTCTTAGCTGCAGCACACGCAGGACGTTGTTAAGTTGTGACACGTGAAATCTTAGTTGTGGCCTGTGGGATCTAGTTCCCTGACCAGAGATGGAACCCTGACCTCTGCACTGGAAGCATAGAGTCTCAGCCACTGGACCACCAGGGAAGCCCTCCTGACTGGTTTTTGTTTAGTCACTCCGTCGTGTCCGACTGTGGCCCCGTGGACTGTAGCCCTCCAGGCTCCTCTGTCCTTGGGATTCTCCAGGCAAGATTACTGGAGTGGGTTGCCATTTCCTCCTCCAGGGGATCTTCCCGACCCAGGGATCGAACCCAGGTCTTCTGTATTGCAGGTGGATTCTTCCCTGCTGAGCCAGCAGGGCCTGACTTGTTTGCATCTTTGCAAATATGGGTTCAGGGTGAGGGGGGCGCAGCGCTTCTGGCGGGAGGGTCGTTCCCCTCCTGGCCCCTGGAAGCCCCCTCCAGAGATGAAGCAGCCTATCCTTTGACTTGTCCCTGTCATCCTCAAGGGAGCCCTGACGGAGGGCCCAGGACAGGAGGGGGCAGGGCCAGACGGCAGACAAAGGGAGGAAGGAATGAAGGAAAGCAGGAGAAAGCTGGGAAGAGGGGTGACCGTGGGACGGAGCAGGCACGGACGCCTTCTGCCCAGCAGTGCCCCTGCCACTGTGCCCCTCAGGTCCAGGACTGTCCCTTTCGGATCACAAAGCGCTTCTGATCCTGATCATGGCCCTTGAGGCAGACATTCCAGGAAGCAGATGGAGCCGGCAGGGAGGCAGGTACTAGACCAGGCTCCCGCAGCCCCAGCTGGGTAGAGGGGCAGGGCCAGGAGGGGAGTCCTGGTGGGAAGCCTCCATGGGCTGGGCTTCCTGGAAGAAGGTCTGGTCGGTGGAGAAACGCCGGCTGGGGCCCCTCTGCACGGCCCCCTTGCCCCGCCCAGAGAGCATCAGTCCCTCTGCCAGCCGCTGGCCTAGCTCCAGGCCCTGACACGCAGAGGGGAGGCCGTGAGGGGACACGGTGCCATCGCCATCGGAGGCGGGTTTCCCAGGGCCAGGATGGGCAGCCTGCTCTCAGGCATCACTGAGTGCACCCTGGCGGACAGTCCTCACACACAAAGCCTGCATCCCCCTCACCCATGTCCTGGGGAGGCCCCAGGCTTGGAAAACAGGGCCTCCCTGTGTCCCCACTGCGCCTCCCGGGCCTGCGGCTCAGGCCAGTCTCACACGCCGGCTCCGCTCTGCCCGCACGGTGGTTGCCCTAGCCCCTTTCTGCTCCCATGCACATCTGCCACCAGGTCTGTGCAAGGGCCCTGGGGCTGCTTCCTCCAAACCCGCGTGGCCCCCACACGCCAGCGTCTGCGCGCGCGCACACACACACACACGCGCGCGTGTCTTCTCCACACTCGCCGCTAGTCACACAGTCTCCAGGAAGGGCCAGCGCCAAGGCCCACCCAGCTCCCACCCACCTCTTACTCACCGCCCAATGTCCGAGCAGGTTTTGGAGTCCGCAGCAACCGCAGCGTGGGCAAAGGCCTGGGGGCCGCAGTGGACGCGGTGCCGGGAGACGACCACGGCGGGCACAATGATGGCCAGCGCCAGCCCCAGCCCCAGCAGGACCAGGCTGACCACGGCCCCGCGGCCCTGGGCCATGGCTGCGGCCCAGGGGAGAGGGGAGGCAGGGGAGCAGGCAGCTGGCCGACAGGGAGGTGCAGAGGGAGGCGGGCGGCTGACCAGACTCACAGGCGACAGGGCAGGTGGACCACCAGACGGGGGCCACAGACAGACAAGTGGGCGCACAGCCAGAGGGCAGGATGGAGGAGGACCAGACAGACAGACAGAGTCGGATGGGTGGACAGACAGATGACCAGCAGGCAGCTGGGTGGACGGTGGGTGTGTGGACGGACGGCTGGCCACGGGGCTGCTCCCTCTTCAAGCGTCCGCTGCAGAGGCAGAGCTGGCCACTCGCCGGGACTTCCAGTTTTAGCCTCTATCTTGGCCCTGGCAAGATGCCAGGCAACAGGGCGTTTATGGGGAGTTTTTCCTTCCAGAGAGAAGTCAGCAGCTGCTGTTAACTCTCTTTCTGCCGTTCCCCCTGCCGCCCCTCCTGCCAGCGCCCAGGGGGTGGGCCGTGCATGTGAGGACTTGGCGCCAGCTTGGCTGCCGGGGGGAGCTGGGGTGCAGGGCTCCCAGGACCCCATGGCTGATCCCCAGCTCCCAGCAAAGCCAGGACAGTAGGGGACGCTACTGGGTCAGGCTCAGAGGGGCAGGGAGCCAGGACAGAGCCCCAACTTGCCTCCTGTTCGTGCCCCCGCCCCCCAGCAGCCGCTCACCTCAGCACCTCCAGATCCAGAGGACCCTGGGGCTGCAGGGGACACGGCACAGGGGGAGGGGGGCCCGGGCAGGGTCACTCGGGACCCGAGTTCAAGTCCCAGCTCAGCCGAAGCTGAGGAGGGGGGCTGGGCTGCCCGGGAGGGGGCTCGGCTTCCGCGTCTGTTCAGGGGAGGTGTCTGCGTTGGGGAGGCGGACGGGGCCTGCACCCAGCGCCCACCCGACGGGCCACCCTGGGGCCCGCGGTCCTGGAAACGCCACTGGGCCTCAGGGAGGGGGCTTCCCTTGCACCTGCATCTCTACCCACCCCTGGGGGCAGCGTGTTTGCCTCCCTCTTCCTGAACTGAGTGTGCCTCCTCCCCTTGGGACACCAGCCCGCACCCTGCCCCATCCAGGCCTCAGGGTGCCCAGCTGGGAAAGCAGGTACCCTGAGGTGCCCCCTTGACCAGCTCATCAGGACACAGAGGGTGCAGGGCCTGGGGGCTGGACTTCCAGCCCCCCTACACCCAAAGTACCCTGGCTTCCTTCCCAACTGAGCTTCGCTGTCCCCTGGTCTCTTTACCCCTCCAGGCACAGCAGAGAAACTGAGGCAGGGAGCGTCCACACAGTCACACACTCTGCCAAGCCCCATCCGGAGCCCCCGCCAGCCTGAGCCAGAGGGACTCCTGGGGCAGCAGGCCACCTCGAAGGGTGGGAAGGGCTGTGGACTCCTTCCGCCCCCCAGGGACCCCCAAATCACAGTGACATTGCTCAAGCAGGAAGCAAGAGTGCATTCCTGGGCTAGGGCCAGCCCACCTGCGGGGAGGCCAGGGTCAGGGTGGAGCCTCCTCTTCCTCTCCAGGAGGTGAGGGGCAGGAGAAAGACGGGAAGCCAGGACCCCAGGGGGCCCTCAGCCAGGCCCCACAGTGCCTGGGGAACTGGGGGTGCCCTGCCCGCCTGCTGGGGCTCAGGGGGCTCCACTCCAGGCCAGCTCCCACCTCCGCGGGAGCAAGGCCTCAGTCTTCTCCCCTGCTAAGGAGCCATAGCCTCTCCTCTGGGGCTAAAACGAGGGCAGAGGAGAGACGTGCCCACCCCAGCAGTTCAGCCTCTATCCCATTCCCCGAGGACCCCAGGGACGCCGCGGTCCAGGGCTCAGACCTGAGCAGGGGGACCTCTCGGATGCAGGGCTCCCAGGACCCCATGGCTGCTCCCCGGTTCCCAGCAAAGCCCCGCTTCCCTGAGGGCACTTTGGAATCCCTAGGATTTCCTGCCTCCTGTGTCCCTGCCCTCGGGGGGTGCTCACCAGGCTGTCAGACTGGGCCCCCCCTCTGCCCTGCCCACCTCCCAGGTTCTTTCCCAGCACCTGCCGACCCTCCTTACAACTCTGTGTTAGAGGCGGAGGGCGGGCGGGCGGGAGGGGCTGCCCCGTGGAGGAGGCTGGGGGCAGCGTCTCCAGGTGCCCCCCTCCCACCCAGAGCCGCCCTAACCCCGGGCGCCCGTCCAAGCCCTGGCCCTCGGAAGTGAGGACCTCTTCCAGCTCCCTGATCCCGGAGAACCGGGCCTGCTTCTGGAGCGCATCGCAGCTTGGATCTCACTCTGGGTTTCCACTTGGAAAGCCCCCCGGGGGCCTGGTCCTGACCAGCATGTTTTTCTCCAGCCTCTTGCCCAACCCCATCTCCCCCGGAGCTCGGCTTTCCCTCAGTGCGTGCCTGGCGCGCACCAGCGAGCTGAGGAGGTCTCCGGGTTCTCGGAACCTGCGGGCGAATCGCCGGGGCCGCGCGCCCACTGGTGGCCGCCACAGGGACATGTCCCGGGGCGGGCCGACCCTGGTGCCGGGACTCGGGGGTGCAGCCCACCTCCCGGGGCCCAGCGCCCGCGCTGCCAAGGCCTCCGAGTCCCGAGTCCCGTCTCCAACCGCCCCCCAGGCGGCCCCACCTCACACAGCGCGCTGAAGCCCAGGGAGTCGGGAGCCGGCACGCAGGACCGCCCAGAGCCCGGCGCCGCCGCCGCATTTATTGCCCTGCTGCGCCGCTCCCAGGGGAAGCCAGCCCCCCAAGTCCCGCCCCGGCCCCCGGCCGGCGGGCCTCTCCTCCCCGGAGCGCTCAGTAGCCTGCGGGCTCCCCGCCTTTCCTAGAGTCCGAGGCGGCCGCCCAGCCGCTGGCTGTGCGCACGACGGCCTGCACGACGGCGATGTAGGTGGGCGTCTCCTCCGTGGTGTGGTGCCGGGTCTTCAGGGCCGTGACCACCGCCTGCGGGCGGGAGGGGGCGCGGCCTCAGAGGCGGCCCGGGCCGCCCGCGCGGGCTTCTCACACCCCGGGGCCGCGGCTGCCGGCTGAGGGGCCAGGAAGGGCGGGCCGGGGGCCGGGGGCCGGGGGCCGGGGGGCCGACTGGGTCTCATCCGCGCGGGTGGCCCGGGCCTCTCTGGACCGGGGGCGAGGAGACCCGGGCGGTGGGGGTGAGGGCCAGCCGCCGCGGGCAGCGGGGAGCAGCCATTGCCTGCTCTGCGGTGATCAGGAGACGCAGGCCCGGGGGCTAACCGGGGCTCGGTCCCGGCTCCCCCGCCCCCGCCCCACCCCCACCGGGGATCGGTTCTCCCCCTCCCCCGCCCCCGGCCCGCCCCGCCCCACCTGGTCGATGCCTTTCTCCAGCACGGTGGTGTTGGGCAGAAGCTGATTGTGAAGCCTGGGCTCCTCCACCGCCTGTTTGGCATCATAGCCGAACCACAGGCTGTTGATGATGGCCTGGGGGGTGTGGGGATGGGGTCAGCGTGGCCCAGTGGGCAAGGGGCTAGGCGCTCAGGTGGGGGGAGCACGTACCAGCGCCGTGGACGTCGTGATCTGGGTGCCCCCGGAGGCGCCCACCACCATGCGGACCTGGCCGTCCTCACCCACGATGATCACGGGGCACATGGAGGAGAGGGGTTGTTTGCCTGCAGCCGGTAGGGGGGGCGGGGGGACAGAGCAGCGGGTCAGAGGCCACCGGGCCACCAGCCCGCTCCCCGCCCAGGCCCTGCTCCCCGCACCTGGAGCAATGAAGTTGGCCGGCGAGGGGGGCACCCCGAACTGGTTGATGATGTTGGGGGAGCTGAAGTCGTCCATCTCATCATTGAACAGGATCCCGCTGACCCGTGACCGCACCTTGGAACCGAAGCTGCCGACCGACCGGCGGGGTCAGAGAGGGGCCAGCCCGCCCGGCCCATGCCCACCAACACACTCTCCGGAAAGGAGCTCTGCCAATGTGGAACCCCCCTTCTGGGACACGCGGCAGCCCCTGGCCCGCCCGGCCGCCCAGCGGCCCTACTAGAGGTTGATGGTGCTGGTGGCTGACACGGCGCTGCCATCCTCCGAGACCACCGACAGGTGTGCGGTGCCTCCACCATCCGGCGTGTAGAACTCAGGCTCGTAGTAGGAGGCCGGGTGCGTGGTGCTGTCAGAGATCCGGGCCCTGAGCTGGGCGGCGAAGAACTCAGAGGTCACGTTGCGGACCACCTGCCGAGACCCCAGAGCTGCCCTGAGGGGGTGAAGCAGGCGGGGAGGGGGCACAGGCTTGTGCGAGCGGTTCTCAGGAAGCCCCCGCCTGTGGCTCCGACCGCAACCCTCCTAAGGCTGAGCCTCACGTGGCCTGCCTGAACCCCCTCCCCAGCTTCTGTCTCTGTTGCTGCCCAGCATCTCTGAGTGACCGTCTGCCCTCCGAACCCTGACTCTCGCTGCACCCAACCACCCATTCACTCATTCACGGAGCTTGTAAGTTCGCGCCCAGCACTGGGGCACCAGTAGGGAACAGACACGCCTGTCCCCACCCTCACAGCAGGGAAGACAAACACGCGTAGGGATATGCTGGAAAGAACGGGCCAGATGAGGGAGGGGAGGGGGCGACAGGGTGGAAGAATGAGAGTGGTCAGGGAGGGCTTCTTGGAGGAGGTGATATCTGAAAAAAGCCACCTGACTGGTAATGCAAAGGCCCTGAGGCAGGCCTATGAGTGACACGCAGACAGCGAAAGGAGTTAGGGAGAGAGGAGGTTGAAGACGCTTGCAGGGGCTACTCCCACAGGTCCTTATGGGCCCTAAAAGGCCTTTAACACCTCCTGCACTTGGGGTGGAGAAGGGAACCACTGACGGGTGTTAACCCTCTGGCAGCTGTGTGTGGGGGCGGAACACAACTGGGAAGAGCTGTGACCTTCACCGGGTAGGTGAACAGTGCAGACGGGGCGGCCGGGGACAGCGGGAGCCTGACTGGAGACGCACACTTGTTGGATCCTGAAGATCCTGTCCCGGGTGTGTGATGGGTCACCCCTGATGTGTGGAGTTTACTGGCAAGGCAGGGCCCTGGAGGCCAAGCAGAGGCCGTGGGTTCTTGCAACACACACGGATTAAGTGACTAATCCAAGGGGAGAACATTAAGCTCGAATCTACTTCCGAGAGAGCAGCTGGACCGAGGGAATGCGACATCCTAGGAGACAACCGCCCTGGGCCTTAAAGTCCACACGCCAACAGCCCAGGGCGGGGGTCCGTTGAGGCTAAGAGACTGGAGGCCTCAAGATGCGGGCGGGACCCTCGGGGAAAGGCTGACCCGGGCGTCTGAACAGGCCAAGAAACAGGCAGAGCGGAGGGGAGCCGGAGGCGGCAGAGAGGAAGGAAACCAGCTGCAATGTCCACAACTTTACACGAAGAAGCTGAGTGGAGGAGGCGCTGGTGAAGGGGGTGGGATGCTGCGGAGGGGCCGGAGTGGGGCGGAGGCCCGGTCAGGGCCTGGAGGGGGTAGAGGGGGGAAGGGCTACGGGGGGGGGCTGCAGGGCCCACCTCGCAGGGGGGACCCGAGTAGGGGAGAGTAGGGGATGAGGGCCATGACGGGGATGGAGGCGGGGGTCCAGCCTGGACAGGGGGGCGCCTGGGGAGCGAGCGGGTTGGGCAGTGGGGATCTGGGAAGCGGGTGTGACCGGGAGCGTGTGTGGCCTGGGCCTCTGCCTGCCTGGATCGAACCTCATCATCAGCCCTGTGGGCTGGGATGCCCCTGTGTGCTCACCCCCTCACCTCGGCGCTGACCACTCCAGGGGCTTCCAGGCCAAGGACACGGCTCGTGCTGAGGCCCCGAAGCCGCAGTGTGGAGGAGGAGGCGGGCACTAAGGACCCCCCAGCACCCCCACTCCCCCAGCGAGAGCGCCCTGGCCCAGAGGCCAGCACACGGGGTCAGCAGTCCACCCCAGCACCTGGCGGCCCCGAGGCCAGAGTCGGCGGTGCAAACAGGAATGAGGCGGAGTGGGGCTCGCCCCTGCCCCCGTACCTCAGTCACGTTGACAAACTTGGGGTCCCCAAGCAGGGTCCTCTTGGCGTAGGCAAAGCGGAAGGCCTCCACGATGCGGTGGTAGGTCAGGCCCTTCTGCTCAGGCGTCTCCACGCTCGCCCGGGAGAAGTTGTACCCTGGTCGGGCAGATACACAGTGACCCCAGCGGCCCCGGGTCCCCTTGGCCAGGACAGCGGGGTGCCCGGGAGGCCTCCCTGAGCCACTCGGCTCACCCTGAGAAGCGGAACATTCACTGTCCAACGGCAGTGCCTACTTAGGAGGCAGGGGAAGGAAGCAAGTGTCCCTGCATCTGGGCACACACATCAGTCACAGGGCTACCCAGGCCCCGGGGTGGCCAATGACTGTCTAGATCTACCAGGTGTGCCCCCTGGCCCAGGCCGCCCAGCCCACGCCTGGGACATGGCTGACCTTTGAGGATGTTGATGATGAGGGCCAGCACAGGCCCGCTGAGTGGGGCGCTGGGCACATAGAGCTGGGCGTCCCCAAGGCTGACGCTCAGCGGCTGCTCAATCAGCTCCGCCTGGTAGTGGTTCAGGTCCTCGGCCGTCACGATGCCCCCTACAACGGGGGACCCAGGGATGAGACACACTTCTGGGGGACCACCAAGTGGGGAGCCCTGTCCACCGCCTCCCCCACCAACCCCCTGACCGTGCCACCTCCCCGGGGCCAGGCCCAGGCCAGCATCCTCCACCTGCTGTGCCACTGGCCTCCAGGTCTGACATCTGTCCTCTTGGGGGGCCAGAGGTCCCCCCTCTCCCATCAGCCTCCTCCTCCTCTGACTAGTGGGTGGGTGGAGGGAGGCCCTTAATTCTCCAGGGAAACTGGCTCCAGACAGATGAAGTATTTGAAGTATTTATAGGCTAATTTCCGGTGTCAGTGGTAAAGGTCAATACGCTCAGCACCCTCCTCCCTGACACACAGCTTGGGGAGGCGGGAGCAGAAAAGAGAGGCAACTGGGGCTCCTAAACTCACCAGGACCTGCCCACGAGTTCCCTGCAGGCAGCGCCCCCCACACCTCTCTCAGCAAGTCCACCCTCCTTCCCTGTGATCCTCCTGGAGAATTATAACCCCTCTCTCCAGGCCTCAGACTGCTTTCTGCCTGCAAAGTCCAACCTCACCTGTGGCTCAGGTGCCACCTCCTCCAGGAAGTCTTCTGGGGTTTGCACCTGCGTGCTTTCCCCAATCCCAGCTCCTGCCTACAACTGCATTCCTGCCCACCCCTCAATGCGCCCAACCCTGCAGCCCCGGGCTTCCTGTCCTGGACTGCAGGAATTTCCTCCACTTTGCCTTAACCAGGAGCTGTGGATCCATGCAGCCCATCACCAGCTGCAGACACACTTGTGACCCTCCCCTGCCAGGCACGCCCTGAGGGCCCAGTGTCCAGGCAGGACCCAAGGACCCCAGGCTCCGTGTTCCCGCTATGGAGCTTCCCGCCCCGGGGCCCCAGCACCGCCCGCTCACCGGCATCCTGGATGTCCTTGACAATCTGGGCTGTGAGGCTCCCGTTGTAGAAGGCTCGGGCGCCCTCCGAGGCCAGCGTCTCCAAGGTGTCGGCCAGCCGGGGCATGGTCACCTGGTCCCCCTCCCGCAGCACCTTCCCGTCACGGCAGAACACCTCGCTGGGATGGCAGGGGTGGGGCTCTCATGAGGC